TGTTTTGAGGAACTGCATGAATAGAAACTGCCAGAGTGAGTCTGGCTGCAGAGGTACAGTTTTCAGGATAGCATCAGCTATAATGATCTTCATTGTCCTATCTGAGATGATGTACCAAAAAAAAACAGTCCAGGAGGTCTGTAGTTAATGGTTTAATATCTTGAAAAGAGATGTTTCCCCCTAAACCTCAGTGACTGAACATTAAGACATTATCTTGTATCTACTTCAGCACAGGTGCTGTTTCTTTCATACATGCCCTGCAGTGACTGAATAGTCCTGCCATTTACTACGTAGATACCTGCTCCTCCTTTAAATCCTGCATTTCCTTTCCCAATTAACTCCCACCATTTTGCCATGCCAACCCCTTTCTACCCAAGAGTTTAGATTTTCCTGCCATAGAAACCAGGTGTGGTTATTATGTATTTTGTCAATACCTTGAATAGCTGGAGCTCTTTGTGTCAAAAGCATTGAGAGTCTTTGGTGACTTTTTACAGGAAAAAGCAGTGCTTAGTCACAAGGCTATTATGAAAATTACTTTAAAGGATGTATTCTGCAAGATCCAGTGCCTTTGGTTCTCACAGAAGGTCACCAAAATGTGCGAAATTAACATGTTGGACGTTATTTATAAAAAGTACTACATCTGAACTAAGCTGAGGGGAGAATTTTTGTATTGAATCAAAATATTTTAAATTAATCTATGAAGGAAGAATGTACTAAACTGTATTAAAAATTACAATTAATAATATGCAGTAATTAAGCTGTAAGTAAAACTTCTCCAGTAACAACTGTAATTATTCCATAAATTAAATAAAAAATGTCTGAGAGAGAATGCTTGTCAGGCACTTTGCACAATCAGGTTGCTTTAAATGCATTTTTCTTACCAACAATACAGTCCATGAGTGGTAATGGATTCCAGGCAGGCACCGGTTTTTTTTAGATGTGTGTAGTCTGCATTTGTTGGTGTATTGTGTAAATACTCAATTTATTAATTAGTTAATAATGATGGAAAGGGTGATTATATAAAGGTGCTGGTTTGGTATAATTAGCACAGGTGTTTGTAGCTCCATTTCAGATATCAGCAATGTTTCTTTCATGGTGAACACACAAGGCAGAATGGAACTGTTGGGATTAGTTTGAGGATTCCAATCCCAGGAGCTGCCTCAGCAGTAGTTCCTTGTCAGAAGGCAGCCTGAGGCCCTAAATAGCAAGGAACTCTTTGCTGGGTCTGCCCTTCAGCTCCAGGAGCAGCACTAGTCAGATGCTGTTGCCAGAACTGTGCAAGCAGGAAGGAGGCATCCCTGAAACAAACACACCAACTTATCGCAGCATCCAGTGATGCTTCTTCCCTCCTGGGGACATCAAGCCTTTGTGCAGGTGTTTGAAGGTAGGAAGGGACAAATCAGGAGCATGAGTGATCCCACAGTATTGTGAAAACATTGAGCATCATCAGTAGGAAAGTCTCAGTCAGCTTGTATCTGAAACCTTGCTTGGGGGGGAGGGGGTTGTGTGTGTGGAGGGTGGGTGTTCCTTTTTTTTTTTTGTCTGGAGCAAGTGGGCTAGTTTGTGATTGGAATCCCTAGCTTGAGTTTTGAAGCTCATCAGATTAGACCTGTCTAGTTGCAGTGCCCTGCAGATATTCTGCCAGGCCCATCTCCAATAATTAGTACCTTATCTTCATAAATATCTAACCTTATCAATGCTTCTGTAACTATACAAGGATTAGTTCATTAGCTACTCTAAGTGTAGACTCTAAATAAACTGGTGTTATTAACCGAATGGGCTGTAAAACAGGGCAATTTAGAGCTCATCAGTGAGCAGGAATCAATATTAAAGAAACTGTAAAATTTGAAATATTTTTTTCCCTGATAAATAGATAAATTCTGTTGGGCTTTTCTAGCATAGCAGTTCTACTAGAGCTGGAGTGGAAATCTATATCTCTGTCTCTCTCTGTATCTCTCTCTCTCTCTCTATATATATTTGTATATATACCTGCTTTTTTGCCTTACTCTGCTATAAAATAGTGACAGTACCAGTAACATCATATATTTACTTGAATCTTTCCCTATAAACACAGTCCTAGTGTTTTTAGTTCCTTACAGTCTAATTTGAGTTGGTGATCATCATTCACACACAGATAAATATATCCTGGAGGTTCATCCTCACTATAATAAATACATAGAAAAATTTATAGTTAATGGGTTTGGGATTAGAATAGCTCTGCCTCTTCATCCATATTTCTCTCTCTCACTTAACCAGGTACCTGGAATTTTTCCCCATTCCAGTCAATGCAACAAGTCATTTCCTCTTTGAGAAAAGTGCCATTTATTTCTATTCTGTGAAAGCTCCCAAATGAGCACCTTCCCTGGCCCCCAAGGCCCAGATTATCAGCACGCTCTCAGATCCATCAGATCAGGCATGCTCCTGCTGTCAGGTACAATGATGTAATCTCTCGTGGCTGCCATTCATTGTAGTTTTTCCTCTATGTTAAACTATCAAAGGAGTCCAGTGTGGCACCTATCGTGCTATATCTGGAACAGCCACATCTGTTCATGTCACCCACAGAATACAGTTAGCATGACTGTTGTACTGTTCCAAGATTCCAACAATGCATTAGGGTTTAAAACAATTTTCCAGCAGCACCTGGGTGTGCTTGAGGCCCCAGCAGCTCTGAAACACACCTTCCCTGAACTGGTCTCAGTAGGACTGCACAGCTCCTGCAGAAGGGGTGCCTGGAGCCTGGGTGGTACAGAACTTGCATAGGAAGATGTTTATCTTGTTTTTCCCACGTTCACGTGAGAAATAGAGAGCTAGATCCTGTAAATGTATTGAAGGTTCAGCTACCCAAATTCACCATCTAGTCTGGGCTGCTCTTTTTCACAGATAGATACAATTACCCACACATAAAAATCATTCACATAATCAAAAAATTTTGTCCATCTATATCTCCTTCTTCTAGTGCAGACTAGTGGCTTTGTCTGAATGCTCAGGTCAACAAATGTGCGTTCTGAAACCTGGTGACCTGCCTCTCCTTTTATTTAGTAGAAAAGGAAATTAAAGTCTCAGATAAGTGGGTGTGCTGTCTCCCTGACATCAGGCAGCATGTATGACCATAACTGATGATGGATGTGGAAATTAACTCCCTGGCTGAAGGAGTCTGTCTCTCTCCACTCACTGTTGAAAAGCCTAATGAGATTAACCTCCCAATTTAGGCAGCCATGTTAGACATCTAAGGCTAGATAGAGCAAATACTCCTTATAATGGAATTTAAGTATATGATCAAAATAACAATGGCTAAAGAAACTGACATTAGAAGTGGGCAGTTGGTTAAACCTGCTCTTAGCAAGTCTAGTGAATGCACACCACAACTGGTATCCTGCACCACCTACCTTAGGGCTACCAGTATTTTTTGTCTCCAAGTGGCTGAAGTTATGGCAGCAATATTAGGAATTAGTGCAAAAATATTCAAAGGCAAGGAAGGAGAGCATTGGGAAAAGAAAAACTTTGTCTGTGATGTTAGAAGGTGTATTATATTTAAGCAACAGCTGGAAGAATTTGCATTTTGTCGGGGTTTATTTTATTTCCCCATCTGTTCTACACTTTTCAGTATACACTTTCTTTTTTAATTTTAAATTCAAATTCTGATTGTAATGGAGTTTTCTGTAAGGCTTTGGAGAAAACATATGTTTTGATGAAATGAGAAAACTTGTGAGAATAAAGATTTTGAAAGTAGAGGTGTTTTTCAGCCTCTAAGATTCTATGATTCTATGATTCAGCCAGAATATTTAAAGAAATGCAGGGGGGAAAAAGATGATACAATAGTCTGAAAATACAAAGACATTGTTATAAGGGCAATCTAAGAAAATTACTTCTTTAAGCAAACTCTTCAGACTTAGTGAAAACAAGGAAAACAAGAAAAGTAATCACATAATAAAGCAGATGAATATACATTAAAATAACTGTTATATGCCACTTCTAAGACACAAAGACTTTCTAAATTAATTTGTTGAAAAAGCCTGTCTTTTTTTCAGGACCTGACCCAAGCCTAATTAAAACCAAAGGTGGAACTCCAGTAGTTGATAAAATATGTTAATCTACTAATTTATGCTACAATGAGTACTGGGGAAAAGATTCAGACAAAAGGACATGAACAAATTTCAGCTAAGAGGAAATTTTTAAACTTTGTGGTTCAGAAAGGTCTGCCTACCCACATTTCATGGTTGCTAGCAAAGTTTTTGGAGCTTAGAGGTGTGAACCCCTATTTAAATGCATATTCCCTGAGTAGTGGCTTTTAAAAGTCTGTCAGAAAACCAGTCCTCTTAACCTTTAAATCTATACTCAGCCTTCAATTTTGCTGAAATCTCAGTGGGACTTACACTTATGCTTAAATGCTGTCACAGTATCACAGAATCATTCTGCTTGGAAAAGACCTTTAAGATCATCGAGTCCTAACCTAACTCTACCAACCATTAACCTAACTCTAACACTTTCAGTGCTTAAATCCTGTTTCTAAGCACCACATCTATAGTCTCTTAAAATCACCTCCCTGGATGGTGATTCAACCACCTCCCTGGGCAGCCTGTTCCAGTGTTTAATTACCCTTTCAATGAAGAATTCTTCTAATATCTAATCTAAACGTCCTCTGGTGCAACTTCAGCCCATTTCCTCTTCTCCTGTTGCTTGTTACTCTGGGGAAGAGACTAACTCCCACCACATTACAACCCCATTTCAGGTGGTTGTAGAAAGCGATAAGGTCTCCCTTGAGCCTTCTTTTCTCTAGGCTAAACACCCTCAGTTCCCCCAGCCTCTCTTCACAGGGCTTGTGCTCTAGACTCTTCCCCAGCTTGCCTGCCATTCTCTGGACACACTCCAGTCCCTCAATGTCCTTCTTGTAGCGAGGGGCCCAGAACTGAACACAGTGCTCGACGTGTGGCCTCACCAGGGCTGAGTACAGGGGCATGATCACTTTCCTGGTCCTGCTGGCCACACTTTTCCTGATGCAGGCCAGGGTGATGTTGGTCCTCTTGGCCACCTTGGCACGCTGCTGGCTTATATTCAGGTGCTGTCGACCAACACTCCCAGGTACATTTCTGCCCCCCACAAGCCTGTAGCATTTCATGGGATTATGACCTAAGTGCAAGACCTGGCTCTGAGACTTGTTGACTCCCATACAATTGGCCTCAGCCCATCGATCCAGCATGTCCAGATCCCTCTGCAGAGCCTCCCTGCTCTAGAGCAGATCAGCTCTCCCACCCAGCTTGGCGTCACCTGCAAACTGACTGAGGGTGCACTCAGTACCCTCGTCCAGACCACTGATAAAGGTATTAAAGAGAACTGGTCCCAGTACCGAGGCCTGGGCAACCCCACCTGTGACCAGCCACCTGCTGGATTTAACTCTGTTCACCACAACTCTTTGAGCCTGGCCATGCAGCCAGTTCTTTACCCAGTGAAGTGTACACAGGTCTAGCTGTCCCAAAGAGAAATCTTCATGAGAAAGACATTTTGTGAAACATGGTCTATAAATGCTCTGAAAAACAGGAAAGCACCTTTTGTCTTCCCACTTCACAAAGCTCAGATCAATTATCAAAACGCAGATTTTTGAAAGCTCTTGGGAATGAGCTGTTTCTCTGTCACACCCGTGACACGCGTGTCAGTCACGTTTCCAGCTGGCAGTTTGAAATCCAGCCTCCAGAAGCAGCTGCCTTTGTCATAAACTTAAATTGACAGCTTCTCTTCAGGGCTTTCAATTAGGATCTCAAGGAAAAAAAAAAGAAAGCATGAAAGTGTCAGTCTGAATGCGATGAGCAGGCGCTGTTCTGTGGGAGGCCAACACGTGCTGCTTTTTGTTCAGACTCCATGACAAGCAGAAACCTGCCATGCCAAGTGGTAGACAAAAAGCACTTTAAAAAAAACCAAACACGTTACAGTGCCATAAAAATACCTGTTTTTGCTGACTGAGGGGGTACGTGCACCGAGGCCTGGTGCTCTTCCCTGAGGGAAAAGCTTTCCTGCCGAGCTGAGGGCCCTCTCGAGGCAGTGGGGTGGATCCCTGATGCTGCTTAAGTAATCCCACCTCTATCGCTTAAAGTTCTGCCTGCTGGATGGAGGGAGTGATGAGAAAGCTCCAGATTCCAGTGTTGGCTCCTGAAAGGGGGGAAGATGAGGCTGCAGGAGCTGCTGGGCCTGAGGTGAAAATTTCCTCTGTTGGTATTGGTGCAGCAGCGTGATGGGCTTGGGCAGCTGCAGTCCCTGGCAGCTCCTGCTCTCCCCAGGAAAACTCTGCCTGTTTTTAATGCCACATTCAAGTTTTCGAGTTGTTTGGTTCTGTTAGTTGAGGTAAATGTTGTCTCTCAGGCTCCAGAAAGCAAAGTTTCCGTGTGAAATGTGGAGAGAATAATCAAGTTTCTAGCTCAAAACGTAATAAAGCTAACCTTGAAGCAGGCATTGCATGTAAGTTGATTCAACAATTTGTGCCTGAATCTTCATCAGGCCTCAGACAACACGCTGAGGAGATTCAAGCAGAGCTGCAAGGCCCCCTCAAGTGTCTGGCTGAATGGAAGGAAAGCATCTGAAATCACCTTGAATTTATATTCATCACTTAAACATATGACTGGAAAACTGATAAAAAAAGCTTAGGATGGGCCCAAGTGGTGAATGTATATAAGAAACCAGGTGACATCCCCCTCACAGACACTTTGGACATGTACCACACTGGTGTTCCTCATCCACTGCCTCTCTCTTCCTCTTCTATTAAAGCTGTAACTGTGGCAGCTTCACCAGGTATGTGCTTAATTTGCTACAGAGATTATTTTCTTTTTACAGTTATTAAAAACAAATGGGCAGCAGCTGAGAACTTATGCAATTCTAGAAATGGATTAAGTTTAAAAATTTTTTGGAATTTCTGTGTCTTTTAATTATCCTGATATCTTTGTGTGATTTACGTGATGATTATTTTGCAAAGAGAATGTTTTCAGACACCATTCAGCATGGGAGAAGTGGAGGGTAGCTGAAGCTGGTGGTAACTTGCAGCCATCAGATCCTTATGACAGTTGTTCAGAAACTCTCAACAACCATTTCTTTAAGTGCAGGTTTTTTTTTAATTAATGAATTCTGAACTTCAGGTTCTTCCTTGTTAGCTAGAAAATGTCTGAGACTGTTAACTGCCAAATTGTATCCTAGCACTAGGGCTCCAGCAAACAACCAGAGTAAACTAAAACTTAAAAATAGCTTAGACTAAGAAACAACAGTGTCCTCTTGAAAACAGCAAGACTATCTCTGCCCTCCCCCTATCCCCCTCCCCAAATCCATATTATTATTTAAACCAGCTATTTCTAGTTAATATTTACACTTCAAGAAAGGAAAATTTTAAAATAAAGTTTGTTTTCAAAATTGTTGCTCAGCTCTTAGTATCTCTGTATTTTGAAAACAATGGTGCTTGCTGAGAGCCGGTAGTTATGAGCCACCATCTTTTTTGGCAAGACTGAGAATCAGAGGCTGGAAGAACATGAAAAATGTCATTCACTTTTCAAAATAATTGGTACATGTGTATAGTCTGAGAACATTATGAGAAGGTAAAAAAAAGGAGAGATCATTTTCACCCAGAGAAGGTAGATTCATAGAGTGAAATCTCACTCTTTTGGAAATGATGCCCAAATTATTGTTAGATGCAGTGGGGTCAGCCAAATAGTTGGCAAAAAGAGATGAACACAGGTAGGCAGTCTTATTTGAAAACTAACTAGGGATCTGTCAAAGAATCCAAGTATTGAGGAGGGTTTTTAAAAGTAATTAGGCACCCAATTTTGTGACTCTGCACATCTTTCAGGTTAGAAACCCACTGGTTTCTTGTCCTCAGGAACACCTTTGTGGAATTTTTAATGCAGTTGAAAGGAAAAAAAAATCCAACAAAACCATTTATGATTATTTACTTCCACTGTTGCATTTTGTGACTTTTTGTTAGACACCTTAAAAGAGATTTTTAGCTGAACCGTATATCCAGCTTAGTGATTCTTTTCTGCTTGCCTGTAAAGCTCCTGAAGAAGCATGAAGTGGAAGAGCTGAGGTATTCTGAGTTACAGAATTTCCAAGTTACTCTTGTTGATTGATGACGATGCAACTTAGTGCTTGTTCCAAACATGGAAGAAAAAGAGATACTAGGATCTAGTTCAGGCTCTTGTTAGTAAAGTAATCAGATACAAGCAGATTTACAACTAACTAACTGTTGTAAATGCAGGGACACAGGAATCAATTTCTATAGCCCTCCAGTATACCAGTCCCCTGAGCTCTGCCTGCTCTCAAAAACTGGGCTTGATGCTTTGATGCTGTGAAGGAGTTAACTTCTAGGGAAAATATAAGGGGAGGGGGAACAGGAAATTAAAGAGAGATGAAAGGAGGAGGTACTAAGTTGCTTGGAAGCTGGTTCTCAGTTACTTGCAGGAGATGGGAAGGTGGTTTCTCAGAGTGTGAGGGGGTGACAGAGAGCCCTGGGCTCTCTGACACTGAGCTGACACAGCAGAGGAAGAAGGGAATTCTCCTGGTAGAGAGAGTTATTATGGAAACATTTTTATAAACTCTACCCTGCTATACATGTGTAAGGTCTACTTTGTTTGACCATCCCAGCCATGCTTTTCCATTCTGATTAACTTCAGACCTGAAACCGTAAAAAAAAGTGCCTTAAAAAGCTCTCTTGAGTCGCTCTCTGGAACGCAGCCAATTACAAACTGCTCAACAGCTTTGACACCCTCATCCTGAGCCAGTGTCTGAAGGCAGCAGGAGGAAACGACTCCGCTGTCACTCCAGGGGGTTTGTCATGTTCAGGGGTGAACCAGACATCAATACTTACCATGCATCTATCTGAAAGGTAGAAGTGAGAGTGCAGAGTAACGACACTATCAGATTGCCCCCTTGGATGTGGTTGACTTGTGTTAAAGTTTTCCTGCTCTTCCACACCTGATCTTCTGCTGTTCATCACCCTTTCCCTGAAATTACCAGCCTCTCCGATCTGTCAGTGCCACTGCCTGTGTAGTCTCTCCAGGAGCTGTACTGAGCTGTGGTAGATAGCCCCTATTATTAGAAGTGTTTTAGCTGTTGGATTCATTTAGACAGAACTGGGTTAGAAGCAATTACACATGCCATTAGTTGACAGTTTGGGGAAATCTGTAACTTCCAGTAGTGATGAGATCAGCAGAAAGCAGAGTGATAACCTCTTAATCTGGCACAATTGCTGCCCAAATAGCCTTACTTAGCATCAAGGACCCTGTGTGGGCAAGGTGAATTCCTTAGTACTGAGAAAGCAATATGATAATTATAGCTGAGAGACTGACAGTGTTGCTGTTCCACCTGCTGCTTCTCAAAAGTGGCAGAATCAGACTTGCAGTTACACTCATAATTTTCTGTTACATGAAGAAAATAGGCTTCTATCAACAAGGGGTGTTGTGTAACTCTGGATTAGAAGCTGGAGAGTCAAACAGAACTAAGATTGGGTGAGGTACAGGATATTACAGCATCTTATTTGTGTGAAACTTTCAATGAGTATGTGAGAGAGAACGGGGTTGGAAGAGGTGTCATAAGCCATGCATTTCTCCCCATTCCTAATAACCTATTAGTACATGAGCTGAAAAGTGCCCTATTTTTTTTTTTTATATGACATTATTTTTTGATTTGACTGTAAGAGGGAGTTTTGGTGTCAGCTGCTAGAAGAAGACGATATTTAAGTGCATAGAAGAGTTTGAAGATCAAAAATATGTGTCCATGAACCAGGAGCTAACCTTTAAAAAAACTAAAGTAGTTTTAAACTTCAGTGTTTAGGGCACTGCAGTAATAATGCAGCCAGGGGATAGTATTATAAATACAAATGCTATCTAGTATAGCATAGCAAAATCTAGGAAAAATCTAAATTTATTTTTTAAATGAACCTGATTTTCAGTGCAAAATTGTATTTACACTTTTAACTTGATGTAGTCTTTATTGAACAGTTATGTGAGGGTGAATATTTTTCCTAAGTTCACTATTTTATTTTATTTTTATTTTTCTCAGCCCAGATCCTTTTTGTCAGTCTTATCTCTGGGCTGTCCAGCCTGTGGTGC